CAAACTTGTGTTTACTCAAACTTGTAATGAGCTGCATTACAGTTATCCATTTTCCGCATGGACCACAAGTAAAGTTATCATCACTGGGCATGCAGCCCTCCCATGTAGGACCACCGCATGTCAATAATGCATTCACTTTGGCTGAGTGCAGCTGAAAAAAGAAATGAATGAGGCATCACAGTCTCTTCAAAAAGGATATTGGGGAGATAATAATAATGTAATTTTAGTTTCAAAATTCAACATATTTAGATTTTCTGGTGAGTTTTATGCCTGTGTGGTATTTCATGGTGGCCATTATATTCTGCCTTGGGTATCGGTACTTTTCAGTCCTTCACTTAGTTATGTTTCACCCTTCTTCCTCCTCCAATACAGTTCGGTAACCCCTGAAGTCTGTCATGGTCTTTCAAATAAAAAATCATGAAATGGTATTAGGGTAATATAGTAATTTGCACTCTACAAATTGTATTTAATCTGTAAAGTCACTTTCTTAGTGAATCAGAGTAACCAGGACAGTTATGTAACATGGCATTACTGTCCTTAATTTGAAGCAAGCTCTTTGTTGTTGCTATTACTGTGATAAATTTGAGCCAGTAATGGTATTGGTGGGCACTGGCAGCCCTCGCTAGTTTTTACCACTTATGAAAGCATAATGTATGGATTTGCAAGGAAATAAGAAAAATGATGTGATAAAAATAAATTGTCTGGATGACCTCATAAGTCACCACAAAGTGCCATTTTAAGTTAGGGATAAACTTAGTCTTCATTCCAAGGCTCCATGCTCATTCCCGTTACTATGACATACTTTTAAAATACATACTAATGTATGTTTAAATCACTTCTGTTTTGAGGATTGCTTATGGATTTGTAAAGCCTCTTGAGGTACCTAGAGTCAATCAGAGATATTTCCAATGAAAGATGAGAATATCTGAATATTTTGACTTCATTTTGGGGTTTGAATTCCTGTCTCCTAAAGCAGGGATCTGCAAACTTTTTCTGCAAAGAACCAAAAAGTAAACAGCTTAGGCTTTGTAGCACTATGGCTTCTGTCTCAACCACTCATCTCTGCCACTGTAGGGCAAAAGCAGCCACAGATAATACATAAACGAATGGGCATGGCTATGTTCCAGTATAGCTTTACTGGCAAAAATAAGAAGTGGGCTGGATTTGGCCTTTGTGGCCAAATTACACCAGTTTGTAATTTGATACATTCCTGATAAAGTACAGCTAAATCAAATTTGTGCCAATCAAAAGGGAAGTTATACTTTTATGGACACCCATGGAAAATAATACAAACTTGGAAAGTAATACAAACTTGGGAAATAGCACAAATTGAAGAATCTATTTGCAGACTGAAAAAGAAACACTTAGGTATATGTTTTTTTAAAACGTTTTGAAGTCACAAAAAATGCAAACTGACTGATGGTATTACTGAAATTGAGGAATTCTATAGCTTGTCATTAGAAATGCAAACATGAGAAATGTCTTGGCTGAACCATATATTACAAATAAGTGGTTAGGGGCTCAGGGAGATGGTGTGACCTGCCCAGAGTCTCATAGCTATTAGGTGCCAAACTAAAATCCAAATACGGTGTCTTCTGTCCTTGTTCTTTTTGTAAATCATATTATTACCATTTAAATATTGAACTAATGTCATGTGGTATTACAATAATCTACACTTTCTGGCCTATATCCAAGAAAATGTAAATTATACTAGAAGGTATGCAAGAATGAGTTAACTGTACAATTAATTCCTTTAGTAATATCATCAGTCAGTTTGAATTTTATATGACTTCAAAGACTTCTGTAAAAGAAGATGCACATAAGTTTGTGTTTTGTTTTTTTTTTCAGTTTGCAAATATATTAAAGCCCTTTTTTGACTCAATTAATGCCGGCACTTTGTCTTTCACACATCTCTTCTCCAAGGACATGAAAAATACAACTCTCTAAAGATTAAGTATAATTATTAAAGAGAACTGTCATTGAAGGTTAAGTATAATGATTAAAGAGAGCAAATGACAAGCCTAGTGTAAGTAGAAACGCTTGCCTTTCAAAGTCATTTTCATGTCCAAAGGCAGAGATGTACAGAAGGAAATTTAATCCTATTAAATAAAGCAAATCCAACTTCGTGACAAAGAAGTGAGTGTCTTAGTAATGAGTGATTATAAAATAAGGGAGGTCAGCTGAGGTGTACTGGGGTTGGCAGCAATATTGGCTATGCACCGTTTCATTTTGAAACATATGAGTCGAATTTATACAGCTATTGGAATATGAGAAGAGCAAAGACCGATGCTTGTTAATGTCGATGAGGATGCTATGGGGATGCACAGCCATGCCCAGGTGTTTGGTGTGCACTGTGTCCAGGGCCCTCTTACGGAAGGCGCCCTGGGACACGGGAGACCAAAATTCCGTTCCTTCTCTTATTTTCTGCCTCTGCCAATGAACTCTGTGAACTCTAAGGGTGAAACCAACATCCCAAATACAGCAGATGTTTACTGAGTGTTCCTGAATTTTTATATAAAATTTACTGGGGAACCAGACCTAAGACAAAATGCTTGGTCTATTGCTTTGTAAAGTAATTACTAATATTATGGCAAATTGTGAGGCCACAAGAAGTTCCTCATCTTACAGTGTGCCATTAACATTTCTCCCACCAAGACGTGGGTCCTAGGTTCCCTTTCCCTGGTGGGCCTCAGACTACAGCAGAAATGACACTCATGACTCCCAGGTTAAGTCATAAAAAGGATACAACTCTCTCCTCCCTAGACCCAGAAAAGCCTCCCAAGCATCCCTAAACTTGAATCACTGCCCCACCTGCTCTGTGGGACCATTTTTCTCAAGTTTCTGTCTTCTTACACAGGGCTCACAGGCAGAAAACTGAGGCAAATGTGTGGGCTTCCCTTTTATCACAAACCTCAGTCCTGTCCTGCCTGCTTTCCAACGCTGAAGCAGTTGAAGCAAGCTCTTTGTTGTTGTTATTACTGTGATGAATTTGAGCCAGTAATGATACTGGTGGGCACTGGAAGCCCTAAATAGTTTTTACCACTTATGAAAGCATCATGTGTGGTTTTCAAGGAAATAAGAAAAATGATGTGTTAAAGACAAATTGTCTGGATGAGTAGAATTTGATAGTTGTGTACCATGGGAAAGGAAATCTGATCCCAGTTAGTTTTGTCATACCAGAAGTGGAAGTTTGCCTTTCTATTGTATGTACAAAATATTTTTATATTGTGTCCCCTGTTTAAAAGTAGGGCTTGTTATATTAATGTTCATAAACTTAAACTATTAAGTTGGCCATGTAGCTACGTCTGTGTTTTTGTAGAAACTGACCCATTCCTGCCTCTAATGAATGTACCATTGCTTAGATCTGTCAGCATTTCATGTGTATCAGGCTGAAGATGAAAAAAAAAAAGTAGGCTCAGCTCTCCTCTCTCTATTGGATGTGCAAAAGGAAAGAAGTTGGATTCTAACTGACTCCATCCCTGGAATGTTAGTTGATCTTGTAGAGCTTTTATCCCATCTAGTATCAGAGGTCTCTGCTGCAGTACACAGGGAAACAGCCTGGGTCTGAAGCCTGCACTGATTCTGCCCTTTCAGACTAGGCCTGATTTCAGGTCAAGTGGAATTTTTCCCTTCTAGCCATTATTTTATTGATTCAACATATTTTACTGAGTATTTGCCATGTACCAGAAATTTGGCAATGAAAAGTAGATTACTTTCTTTTGGAGGGAGCCAAACATTGCTTAAATATATAATAGACTAAATATGTCATCTGTAATGCAACCAAAGTGCTATGAAGGAAATAGCTCAAAGTAAGAGGAGATTCCAAGGCTGAGACCTCCAAAAAGCAAGAAGCAGAAGTTACCAGACAAAAGAAGGTCATTGCCCTTTTCTGATGCACAACACTGTTTCCTCCATATTCTATTGGTCCAAGCAGTCACAAGCCTGCCTACATTCAAGGGCAAAGAGGAATAGATACATCTCTTAGTGGGGAATGGCCAGGTCACATGCAGAAAAGCACATGGGGTGAAGCCACCATTGGAAAATGGATTTGACTATGGTTTACATGCTTAAATCACACTAATTATTGCCACATGGTAACAGATAGATTTGTGAATTATCTATAATAACACCATTGAAGTGAAAAATCAAACTTTGCAAAAATAACAGATTATCTTTCATATTTTGAAAATCAGAGTATTTTAACATACTGATTTCATTTTGTAAAGGGAAATTTTTGCTTCTTTTTTCATCTTTTAAATTATTATGTACCTATTTGGAAAATATTTAGGCAGATTAAACAGTGTATGTATTCAAAGAGAAATGAAAAGCTATTACTCTGAAGCTTTTATTTTTGAGAATAGTTGACATCAAATCAACAGAACACACTGTCCCAAGTTTATATCTTATTAAATTGCCACTATCCCACCTATTGTTACTCTTACAACATCATATTTATTTTATGATTATATGTTACAATGTATAATTACAATAATTTAACCTCTCTGTAAAGATGTAATTTAACAAATTATCCTGGCTATTTAAATGCATGGTAATCAGCAAGAGATTACTTAAGTAAAACAAGAAAAATGGACACAAGAAATAGAAAATTAACAAATTCTAGAGAAGAATAATTTCAGGGACTAATTACATCTCCTACAATAAATCACAAGTGCATACTAGTGTAAAGACCTATTCCTTTCCATTCAGATTTTAGATGTGCCCAGAATTGGTCCAGTATGTACTCTATATCCTAAGCATATTAATAGTTCTGTTCTCATATTGAATTATTTACTCAGCAATCTATTCATTCTTCATTGTTTCATACATTTGATGAATGTTTACTTCTGGCCATTCATAATTATGTTGGGTGCAGTGAATTAGGGTTCTCCAGAGAAACAGAACCAATAGTATATATTATATACATATATATAGAGATTTACTTGTTATAAGGAATTGGCTTATGTAATTATGGGGGATGAGAAGTCCACAGTGGAGAACCAATGGTAGAACTCCAGCCCATGACGGAAGGCCTGAGAGCCAGGACAGCCAGTGGTGTAAGTTCCAGTCCTGCTCAGAGTCAAAAGGTAAGAGAAACCAGTGAACCAATGCCCCAGCTCAAAGACAATTAGCAGAAAGAAAGTACCCTTTCTCATTCACCCTTTTAGTCCATTTAGGCCTTCAGTGGACTGGATAAGGCCCACACACATTGGGGAGAGAAATCTGCTTTATTCAGTGTACCGTTTCAAATGTTGATCTTATGCCAAAACATCCTCACAGACACACCCAGAAAGAACGTTCAGCAAAATATCTGGGCAGCCGGTAGCTTCGTCAAGTTGACACACAAAATTACTACCACAAGTAGTTATGAATAGAAGACCTGGAGATTAAACAAAACCTCCTCCTGATCTTGAGTTGCTTATTGGGTAGTTTGCAAGGAAGTTATTTACCAAAATAACAGTCATTGGAACTTAAAAGCATAACATCACTATAAAAGATAAGTCAGATCATGTCAGTCCACCACTTGAAGTTCTACTGTGGCTTCTCAACATATTACATTTAAATCCAAATTTCTTGGCCTGGACAACCTTCCATCATTTTCTGACTGCATCATCTTTGCTGCACCCACTGCTAGAGTCAGGGCAAAACTATTCATTCCCACCATGCCACACTTCCTCTTGGGTCGGGGCCTTTGCTGTCTTCCCTCCATGGGGACAGGGGCTCCCCTGCCCCCACTCCATACCACACAGGACAGAGACTGAGGCAGCACTTTCTTTGTGCAGCTTCTATCTATATATCTAGAAACTACATCACAAATAGATGTTTTTCATAGGAAAATAATGAGGAAGTTATGACCAAGAATTTCACAGCAGATAAATCATAGACATGACAAAAATGTTCTGAAAGCAAGGATATGTCCACGATAAATGCCTATAAGCATTGTAATGGGTGCTGAAATACTACAAAGTTGTAACTCCTTGTTATTCAATGTATGAATTAAGTATCTGGTAAAAAAATAGTTTTCTCTGTGATGAATCTGATCCACATTCAACCAGGAAGCTAAAATCAGCTCATAACATTAATTACCTGTTATTTTTATTGCTTCAGAGTTACAAGTTTGGCAAAAAAATAATTTGAAATGCCCAGATCTCTCCAAAAAACCGCTGATGGTAGCTTGTACTTAGGTCATTTTCAGTAACTTTCTTGGCATCAACAAAAGATAGTGAAGATTTTCAAATATTGTGTTTCTCCTATTGAGAAGCATCTTTATAAACAAAGCTAGCGCAACATTTTTCTTTTCATACTTGCCTATGTAGTTGTCTTATTCAAAATCACAAGTATGAATACTTAGTGCTTAACTAGAATGCTGACTTACTAACACCTGCTTATGTGACTTCAGGAAAATTGTTATGTTTAACAATGTTATATACCGATATTTTTCTTACCGATAATTGATATAGTTTCTAATTATAAAGTTATTTGAATAAACAGAAATAGAAATGAGGGTCAGACAAAAGAGAAGGGAAATCACTTTTCTTATTCAAACATAGAGTGGGTGATTTATATCAGAGAGGGTGAGTAGGCCCCTCTTGTGTGCCACCCCTGATCAGCTGGAAGATGCCACTGCACTGTGACGAGGACATTCCTGAGGCCACCTATGGGCCCCCCATAGCAGAATGCCCAGATCATTCAGTGACGTCCTCCAAAGTCGCACACTAGGATGTGGCAGCAGATCTGCCATTATTTGGCAATTTCTGGACAAGTTTATGGTTGTCAGTGATTCTTTTAAGGGTCTTCATTGTTTGGGCATAATTTCTCACTGTGCAGTGACAAATACTTTGCAAATAATGAATTATCTCATCTGGTATATGTATTAATTGATACCTCTGGTTTGAACTATTTTAGTAAATATAGTCCCCTCACTTCCTTTGTCTGACGTCTTGAAAAATCTGAGCATAGTTCCTGACCTCACCTAGCTGCGTGTCCTTTAGATGAGAAAACCTTCATCAAGTAACTAAACAAATAATGACATAATTGTTGATATGCTGTGTTCTACCAAGGAACAGCATGGCACACAGGGGGGAGTATCTGACCTGTGCTGGCAGGTCTGATTGATGGCTGTGCCTCATCTCCTGAATTGGAAGGTACTCTATGTATTCTTTGACTCACACTTGCTTTCCCACATAGGAAGTACCGAATATTTATTCATTGATTTATTTCAAGCCACCATTACCTTATCAGACCTCTGCTCTGTTAAAATACTGAGTAATACTATTTTATTGATTGCATACCTTCTGACAGTTGCAATGTGCACACATGCCTTAGTCTCATACCTCTACAGCTTTAATAGTCTGAAAGCAATAGTGAAAATAATGTATTCTTGTCTAGGTGCAGCAGTTTAGATTCTGTAATAGTTAGAGCTGCCAGTTTGGAAATGCACACAATGAGTTATCTAAAGCCTTTGCAGAACTAAGTTGATATATCAATCAAGATGCTAAGAGAGACTGAGCTTCTAAAAAGCGCCACTGATCTGATTATTGTTTGCAGCCATAGCATATGGGAACTGTTCTTAGAAATAAAAAAGAAAAGTTCTTTTAGTTTTACATTTCTTGGTAGAGTCAATGACAATGGCTGGATAACATGTTGACTCATTGCAGTGTTGAAATCCTGCATCCTTCAGTTGACTTTAGTACAAGATTCAACACATGAACTGAAGGATTTGTGTATATTCAGAAGAAAATAGTGATAGCACCAAGAGTCTTATTGAATGAAGTTATTCAATATTTTATATTATCACAGAAGGGATACTTATAAAAAATAGGTAATTTTAAGAAATCATTTTACATATATTGCACTCTCTTTTGGTTTAAGTTTTTCTTAAAAAATCCTGAGCTTTGTACATCTTATCCACTTATTTTGGCTCCTAAATAGTATATAATTTAATTGATAAAAAAAAATTTTATTTATATTAACCCACTATGGGATGATTTAGGCATTTATAATTTTTTTCCACTCTTACAGATTTGTGGTAAAAAATCCTTATATAGACACAGTGCACAGCTAGTTTCTCTGGCACCAAGGAAGAGCCAGAAAAAAAAAGTTGCGAAAGAATGGGCACAGTAGGATACAATTGACATAAACTTTTATTACACTAAACGTTTCAGTTTTGACTGAAGAAAAGCACAAAAGTACATGGGAATGATTTCTAGCTTCAGGATGGCAGTAACCTTTGGGGAGTGAAGGACATAGAAGGGATGGAGACTTAGCTATAAGTTTATCTTTTCTGCTTTAAAATGAAACAAAAACAAACAAAAAATGTGGTAATGTCTGTTGAGTCTTGGTGTTGTTATATAGGTGTCTGTTTTATTGTTTCCCATACTTTTCTTGAAGTGTTTCATAATTTACAAAATAATCTTAAATTATATGACCAAGTTTAGGAAACTTTAAGAAAACCCAAATGTGTCATAAGTGCATTAGTCACATGTGAGAGGATCTATTAGCATACACATCTAATTTCCTCATTTGAATGAAGTTAGCTATGCATTTTTAAAAACACAACCATGAAAAAAATGACATGTAAGAGTAGGGTTCACATAGTAAAGGAATTAAACAATGTTTATTGGGTTTGAGTGCCCCCCTCAAAAAAAAGTGTATATCCACCTAGAACCACAGAATATGACTGTGATTGGAAACAGGTATTTTGCAGATATAATTAGTAAAATGAGTTCATATTGGATTAGGATGGATCCTAAATTCAATTTCTAGTGTCCTAAAAAGAGGAGAGGTCTCATACACACACACACACACACACACACACACAGAGGGAAGATGAACACATGCAGATATCTGAAGCAGAAATTTTTAGTGATGAGGCACAAGTCAAGGAAGGCCAAGGATTTCCAGCAACCACCGAAAAGCAGGAAAAGGCATGGAAAGGGTCTTCTCTGTCCTACGGAGGAAGCATCCAACACCTTTATACTGACTGGATTTCTAGCCTTCAGAGCTGTGAAGAACGTTTTCTGTTGTTTTAAGGCCCTGATTTTGTGATACCTGGTTACACCAGCGACAGGAAACCAATATATGCACTTTGGGTTCACTGGTTGTTGAATCTGGAACTAGGGCTGTTTTACTTTCCCATGATCAGGAAAATGAGCCTTATAGGTCCTGTCAACAAGTCTATCTCATTTCCAGGATTAGCAAACTAGGTTATAGGCAGCCCTCCACTCAGATAAGAAGGAAGCTTTCTGTATCTTTAATTCCACAGAAAATCAGAAATGAGCCAGAGATAAAACACAAGAAAGTCAGAGCAGATCTGGGAAGAAACACAGGGCAATTCTGGGAGCCTGTGTCATGAGACGCAAATCCTGCTGCAGTTGGGCTGCAGCTGGCTGACCTGCATTTGAAATGTGGGGAGTTGCAGTTTCCTCATCTGAAATATATCTTCTTGAGAGTTAAATGAAATAATATATACAGACCTTGGCACTGTAAAAGTTAGGTTTCTCTCCAGGTATGAAAGAAAATAAAATTGGAGATGAGATGAACCAATCCAGAGTCTTTATCTGAAGCTCTAGTTTAGAAGGCATGATAGCTAATTTTATGTGTCTATTTGGTTAGGTCTCACTACCCAGATATTGGACCTAACATTAATCTAGATGTTTCTGTAAAGATTTATTTTAAAGATAATATTAACACTTAAATCAGTAGACTTTGAGTAAAGCAGATTACATTACTCTTCATGTTGTGGGTTGGCCTTATCCAATAATTTGATGGCCTGAATAAAGATGTATCTCCCTGGAGAAGGGAGAATTCTGCCTCCAGAGATCTTCAGAGTCAATCTGCAACACCAGCTCTTCCCTGGGTCTCCATGTTGCTGTCCTACACTGTAGATTTTGGACTTCGTAAAGCTTTACAATTGCACAAAATAAATTCCAATTCCTTAAAATCTTTCTCTATCTCTCTGTGTCTCTCTCTCTCTATCTCTCTGTGTGTGTCTCTGTCTCTGTCTCTTTGTCTGTCTCTCTCCATATAGACAGAGATACAGATATAGATACAGATCTCTTTGTTGGTTCTGTTCTCCAGAATCTGG